CAAATAGATGAACTGCTCTATATCAGAGAATAGCTGCCTGGAAAGGGGGACAGATGGTTTGGAGAACAGAAGGAGGGAAAGCAAGCAGCAGGGCAGCCTGCCATAAACTTGGAGAGAGAGAGAGAGAGAAACAAAGCTAAGGGGGCTGATGTGGTCATTGACATGTAAGATTACCAGGAGTGTCCTTTAGCTATTGTAATTTACACACTCATGGCCTACATTACTGTTATAGTAGTGCCTTGGGGACCTACTCAGGGACCAGCACCCCATTGTGCTAGGCACTGTACAAACAGAGAACAAAGAGCTGGTCCCTGCACCACAGAGCTTAGCACAATTTCCAGCAGTGGCATCTACACAAGGTATCATCTTTGCCATCTTTTCTCTCTTTTTTTTAAACAGCCTGTTGCTGAAACACAGCTCTGATTGGCTAATACTGAGGTGCTGACTATACATCTTGGAAAACTAGAAAGGCGCTCGCCCTGCGAAGGAAGAACAAACGGATGACGCTCAACTGCTCAGCAGTGCCATGGGTTCTCGAAGAGGTGCACAGGGGCATGGGGGAAGTGCTCAGTTTACGGCTATCCATGGTACAGTGGCCCCGTTACAGTAGTTAACACACACACACGACAGTTTCTTGAGGGTATTATTTAAAGCAATATTTCCAGACAGGGAAAAATATGCTTTCCCTAATGTGGAGATGGAACCAAAGCCCGCTGAGATCAATGGAAAACTCCCAGGCCTTGATTCAGCAAAGCACTTATGCACATGCTCACATCCCATTGAAGCCAATGGAATTTAAGCATGTGTTTAAATGTAGGCATGTGCTTGAGTGCCTTGCTGAATCAGAGCCAATCTGACTACCGTGGGACCAGGCCCTTAAAACCAAAAGGAAAAATAAATTTCTGTCCAGAAAATTAAGAAAAAATAATGGTTTAATAAACATAAAGGAGTTCATTAATAAATTGACTTTCCTATTCTAATCTGAGTTTACTAAGTAATACCATAGTAACAAAACATAGATGAAATGCACATGCAATGCTTTCCCAAACATATCCAGCTAAGCCTTCTTCACGCGTATCAAATAAAAACTGTCCATGTAGTGAATGTCATAATACAAAAATCATTTTGATTCCGTACTGAGATGCTCTCAAGCGATTAAATTACAGTTCATTAATAGGGCAATGAAGATTCATACTTTGTTAAGAATCCTGTAGGTGATGTGGTAATTATCTTATCTTACTCTTGGAGTGCTTGATTATTTTTTCCTTTGGATGCTTTCTACAGATAGGCATGTGCTTGCTCTCGCTCATTTTAGCTATTAAACTTTAGAAAAGTAACAATAATTCCTATATAAATAGACCATAGGTCAGGCTGTGGCTGTTACTATAAGAAAAGGATCTTACAGTCATGAGGACAATAGCAATTAAATGAAAGATGAGCGAAACTAAAGAGCACACAGAATTGCAAGAAAGGAGAGTTTGGGGAAAAAGAAAAGGACAAGTCGATGTTCATGTTCTGCTCAATTTAACTCTGAGGACCTTGTCTAAATTAAGGATTTTGGCACCAGTGGAGGCACCCTGATGTAAATCTGCAGCATGAAATCTTGCTCCATTGAAGTCAATGATAAAACTCCCATTTGCTCCAACAGAGAGTGATAAACTTAGAAGTGGAGGATAAGAAGGGCTGGAAGACCCAAAACTAAGTGGATGGATGTAATACAAAAGGATTTGATTAGCCATGGAGTTTCCAAGGAACTGTTTCAAGACAGACTGGAATGTTGAAGGACTCAAAGAGCCAACCTGGGATGGGACTGGACTAAGGCTAGAAGAAGAAGATAAGCTATCAGTAGTACATATAAAATATTTAATGTTAAGGATTAGTCAATAGACAAAGATCTGAAGTTGTGGTCAGTCAAAACACAAATACTGTATGTAAAAGGTGACTGTACAGACACTGTAAAAATTATGTCCTGCAACATTGTTTAATAACTTATGATTAGTTCAGAGTATTAACGCTTCTAATGACACGGAGGTATGCAGACACGGAAAATGTAAAATCATTCAATATATAAATGGTAATATGTTAAATTGTTACAAATGTATTGGCTTCATTGAACTAAATTTACCAGTAACCTGTGTGTCAATGTTTACCTCGACTTTTATATACAAAAGAGCAATACAGTTTTTCTTTACACGCTCATAGCTTGTATCTCAGTGTCCCTAATACCACTGAGGGACTGAAGAGTGTTTAGTCTAATGTGTTTTGTGAATTCTCTGATACAACCTCATGTATACAGACCATCTTGCCAAGGAAGCTCCCACGGACCGGTACATCTTCCGCATTAACTGGAATCTGAGCAGAATCTCCTGATCCAGATCAGCAGCCACCGGTTTGAAGAGTAAGTTAATGTTACGTGGCCAAGTAGATACAACTTTACGGGGGGTTTTCAGAGAGCACCTCCATTCAGTATGACACGTTATAGATTCAGACGACCTTCTGGGCCAATATATCTCCTTTTGGCCACAGACAAAAATGGGAACCAGACTCAGACATTACATTTTCAGCAACTGAGGCACCTCTATCTGCACCTGCAGAGCCAGTGATGAGAGCCAGATGCAGTAACAACATATACCAACAAAGGGTCTGATAAGTGCTAAGAACTATTGTCGATAGGAGTTGTAGGGGTTTGGAACCTCACAGGATCAAGCCCATAGAGAGAAATCAGGACAGTAAATGTGAAAGCTGAGGACTCTCCTTCCATTTCCTAGCACCAGATTTCATTTTCAGAGAAGGCTGAAATTCGTAATTATTTATTAAAACAGCCCCAGCCATTTTGCCTACATTGTCTTTGGCTCATAAGCAAAGCAGTAATTGAGGTGGCAGCATCACTGGTCATTGTGTGTGCTTTCATTATGTTCTTTTATATAAACACTGGTTATGGCAAATATTCCACAAAACAACTTGCTAGACTGTAATTTACATTAAATGTCACTGGCCATTTGTAGATATGATCACACTGCGGTGGAGTGAAAGATTCTTAAAGAAAAACAAAAGTCAGCATTTGCAATCAGATGGAGTTCAGACATTACTGAAGTGCAGCAGAGACTGGAGAAGAGACCTGCAACTCAATTTTTTCCAGCCTCAAGCGCTAAGTGCAGCCTAGTCTGGCCTCCTTTCTTTTCTAACTTGTGCTGCCCATCCACAAGACTCAGATGGCGGAAGAGGCAAAAGGAAATTGTCCACTCATCACGTCTCTTTTGATGATCTAAGCCTGCTACCGTAGATGGTTTACATCTTGACCCACTGTGATTGGGGGCAGGAGGAGAGCAACAAGAATGTGCTGAGCGAGCTCTCACACACATTCAGGTGACCTATCCAACTGTGGCGTGTTTTGCAACTCGTCCAAAATGATTCATTCGGTATAGGAAGACATGTGGGTTAGTGGATAACACTGAACAACAAGTTGGCACAGCTTATATTTCAAGGAAAAGTAGCAGGTGTTACACCTACTTCCTTGTCAATCTGCATGGAACAAAGTCAATTCCTGATCCCTAGGGTTGGGGTTACCTACCCTTTTAACCTAGTGGAAAAGTAAACTAGCATGTGGACACACACAAACACTTCATCTTCTGGGAGAGAGTTAGTCTCTCATAGTTCCCTTTTCCTCAGGGTAAAGTGGCAGGGCATGCGGTGGACAGTTAAGCAATTTTCCCATCCCACTGCCATGAGCGTCTTTGAACCATACTCTCTGATATGACATTGAGCACAGTTTGACCTTGGCTAAAAACTTTTAGCTAAACCCTGATCAGCACCAGATCAACCACATCAGTAATTTTTGTAGCACAGCTAAGGCTTAAGAGAGCTGTGCTCTGGGGACTTGGGACTGGTTGGAAGTAGGAGGCAGATTCTTTACACCATCGGAAGGGTGACGAAGTTACTAGCTGAAAAAGGCTTCTTTTAGACCAACTCAAACATTGGCTGTACAAAGCCATCCTTATTTAGTTAATTTAGTAACGAGGCTGAAGGCAGCCTTTTTTTTATCTCCTAGGTTAAACCCCTAACGATAAGAAGTTTTAGTGTAAAGTGGTAGTAGGTATGGAACATACACCATTTAATGGATGGTATTTTCTAAAAGCATGTAATGGAGTTAGGCATGCAACTCCAGTTGAAAGTCTAAGTCCCAAAGGCACTTTAGAAAATCCCATACTAATTTTTTGCCTGCAAGTTGGCTGTGGGTACAGTATGTGGTTAGAAATGCATTATTACATTATTTGTGGTATTATTAATTGCTGCAGTTTTCATTTAATTCTTCAGCGCTAAAACCGATTTAGTGGTTTACATAGAAAAAATGTTTAAAAGGTTAAAAATTGCAGTGGTATTTTTGGAACGGGATGTATTTAGAACAGTGCTTAGGTTTCAAACATAGCAAGAGAAAATTTATTTAAATAAAAAGTGACCCATTTTCACTGAAACGAAGAAAAATTATAACTAGTTTTCTTATTAAAATTGAATTTTGTAATTTTTTTTTATAAAAACTAAATTTTGAACCTAAACTACCTGTCAGTGTCCAAGTCAACTTTCACTAAGAAGAAAATTAACCAATTTCATGTCAGCAGAGTAACTGGAAACATAAAAATGGTCTTATTTGCCCAAACAGGGAAATTAATCTCATTCTCTTGAGAAATGTGAAACATTTCTCAAAATAGCTGTGCATAATTTACATCTGCCCTAGTCCTTTCTAGTTTAGGAATGAACCCAAATCCCTCCTTATAACCAGGAGGCCAATTCTGTCCTCAGTTACAAGAGTGCATCTCCCACTGCCTTGAAGGTGTGGTGCACCAACGAAACAGAGAACAATCAAAACCAGCAGGAAATTAAACATCAAAATATAATCTGAAGTACAGGAGGTGTACTAAAAAGAAGCTTCAGCCTTTGCATTTGTTAAACAGTGTATTCCAATCCCAATTGTAATGCACTGCATAAACCAATTTAGGTACTTAGTGTTTTTGCATTGAAGGGTATATGACCCTGAAGAGTACTTTCTACAAGGTGTTAGTGACATCCTCCAAGCTCAGACACAGGGCAATGACAACTAATTGTGCTCAATTTTGGTATGTTAAAGGAATCTACTAATTAGCAGTATTAATATTAGATCATAATTAGGGCCCTACCAAATTCACAGTCCATTTTGGTCTATTTCACAGTCATAGGATTTTTAAAATCATAAATTTCATGATTTCATCTATTTAAATCTGAAATTTCACAGTGTTGTAATTGTAGGGGTTCTAACCCAAAAAGAAGTTGGGGGGGGTGAGGGGGAGAAGAGTTTGCAAAGTTATTGTAGGAGGGTTTGCGGTATTGCTGCTTTCAGAGCTGGGCAGCTGGAGAGCGGTGGCTGTTGGCTGGGGTCCCAGCTCTGAAGGCAGAGCCGCCGCCAGTGGCAGTGCAGAAGTAAGGATGGCCTGGGATGGTATTGCCACCCTTACTTCTGCGCTGCTGTCTGCAGAGCTGGGCCTCAGACAGCAGCTGCTACTGTCTGGCCACCCAGCTCTGAAGGCAGCAGTGGTATTACCGTCCTTACTTCTTCACTACTTCTGCTGGGGCACTGCTTTCAGGGCTGGGCACCCAGCCAACAACCACCGCTCTCCGGCCGCCCAGCTCTGAAAGCATCGCAGAAGTAAGGGAGTCAATACCACAACCCCCTTAAAATAACCTTGCAACCCCCCTGCAACTCCCTTTTGGGTCAGGACTCCCAATTTGCGAAACGGTCTCCCCTGTGAAATCTGTATAGTATAGAGTAAAAGACCAGATTTCACGGTCCGTGATGCATTTTTCATGGCTGTGAATTTGGTAGGGCCCTAATTATAATATGGCCGTTTGATAGGTCAAATGTGCAGTGGTTGAGTAGAGAACCTATACCAGGAGGTCTAGAAGTTCATGTGGCTGATATGCACACAGTCTCCTAACTGGCCCAGCAGTTACTGCATATGAATATAAGCATGAATCTTAATTACCTTGTGTTGAAACAAACAAAAAAGCAGAAGGAAGGGATCCAATCGTGCAAGACGCTATGTACCCTCAATTTTCATTGGCATCAGTAGGAGCTGAGGGTGCTCCAGCCCCGCATAGGGCCAGAGCTTGGAAACAAAACAAAAACAACAACAACCCAAAACCAATTCTATGCACAAGTTTTATACAGTTAATTTCTAAAGTGCCAACTGTTCCATCCTAATGCATGTGCTTAACTCCCATTAACCTTAAAGGGAGTTCTGTGCACGATACACTGCTCAATACAGGAGTATATGTTTTGCACTCCTCAAGGCTTCACTTTTCATGGGTTACTTCCAGTGCTTAATTTGTAATGGAAGAGGTGCTGGGGCTCAAGCAATTGTTTTACTTTCATAACTGATGTGGCAAGTCCAGACGTGTCAGGGCTACGAACTGCCAAACCCAGAGTGCGGGGCTCAGCCCTGGCAAACACTGGCACAAATTAAGCACTGGTTACTTCATGGGTTACATGTATATGGCAACAAATGATTTTATACTCTAGTCCTCTGACCCACACGTACAGGGGAGAGTGACATAACGTGTACTGATAGATGCATTGAAGCTCTGACACTAATCGCATGTATTCCCTTTATTGAACTGTACTAGTTATTGCAATCAGATTAAGTCACATTTATAAAGCAGACCATCCAGTTGCACTGAAACCGATTATATTCATTACATAGTTTTAATCACTGTCCGGTGAACTGGCAAATCCAATCAAAGCATTAGTCTTTAATTAAAAAATTCAAAAGAAATATTCCGACAATAGCCAAGCAATCACATCACAATGCACAATTACCTAAAATTGCAATTAAAAAGCCGTTAAAAAAATCACACCTAATCTTTAACTATCCATATAATACAAGAAGCAACAAAGGGCAACAGCATCAAAGCAGATTTATCTAACACTCTAAATTCAGTCAGAAGCAGAAGCTCTAAAGTACACTAGCTGAAGCAGGACAATAAAAAATACTGAGCATGGAATACTTTTAATCTCTTCCATTAATATTCATTTCCAGCTGCTTATAATAGCAGCGCCTCATGGCCAAATCATTAGAGTTTTACATCTGGGTTGCAAATGACACTTTGATTGGATGTAATGTTCAAATGGTCCTCCCCACTGTGCCTCCGTCAAGTCTTCTGCAGAGAGGTGTCCTGTAGTGCCAGTGGCTCACTGTGCGTGCTGACTCAATGTGTGGTTCTGGAAAGATGAAAAAAGGATACATGCATGAGGGGCAGAATAATAGAAAGCATGCCCATACCCTCCTACTCAGTCCCATTTATGCAGAGTTCTACATAAAAGCTTCTCAATTATTACAAAACAAAATGCAATAAAGAAAAAGTACTCATAAGTAACAGCTGCCAATATGACACATTTACTTTGTACTGATAGATCTGTTAATGCTGGCATGAACTTAGGGAAAAAAAATTTTTCTACCAGCCAAGTACAGCCTTTAAGATTTTCAGTA